TTTTTGCCATTAGATATTAGGAATGTGAACCGTCTGCCTACATTTTGAAAAAAGGAAAGAAACAACTACTGTAATTATTGTAATATTTAGCCCACAGAAGAAACAAAACTTTAGAAAGAATGAGGGTTTGTTTCCTAGCTCATTAAAAAATGGGACAATATATTTGCCAAAGTTTATGTTAATTCATGTGTTATGTTTTATGATTTAAGTTTTCTATAATCATTAAACCCATCAGTTTATTTTTCACTTATGTAAAAATCGTTTACTGTAGTAAAAATGGTATCTGCATCAAAAAGGAATACTTAGTTGTCGATAAACAGGGAAATTTAGAAATAGGACATATGGAATCACTCATTTCTAAGCAATGAAGGGACAGGTGACATAAGGTCATTATTGATCCTGAGGATACACCTGCTGGTATATATTTGCAGTTTTAGAAAAGTTTTCTCTATCTGACATTGGAGTGTATCCAACTCATGAAAGGTACAGACTTTTACACTAGGCTATCTTGGCGTTAAGAGTGGACCATTTCAAGGATCGATTGTGTATGGCAGCTGTTCACTGAATGGTAACGAAAGCACTGAGCATCTTTCATGCAATGAGTGAACCTCTGGTCTAACGGAATCTGCTGACTGACATACTGTCTGTTATCGAGCTACATTGCATTTAACAGTCAAGTCACATGATTAGTATTTAAGTGTTACACTTTTGCTGATGAAACATTGAATGAGTAAATAAACCAGTACACAGAGGAACTCATTAACAGGTACAGAAGATCTGAAGATGTAAACGCAAAACAAATCATTGTCAGCTGGAAGCCTGTCGTCACTTAAATTGGTTTGAAGGTGTTAATACATGACGGTAACAGTCAAGAGAAAACTGAATACCTCACTAGCCCAAACCTATCGTACAGTTAAGTTATTTTTTGTACATTGAGTGACCTGCTTTTTGGTGTCATCAAAGTTTGACAGGTGATAAATCTAGTCGTGGACACAGGTCTAAGTGTATGTGCGGCAACGGTCACATTGTACATATATACCGAGAGTCTACGTCTCAAAGGCAACAAACGGTTCCAACACCGTTATTTTCACTGCGTATATAATCCAGATACCCCAGACAACAACCAAAAGCACACTTAGGCAGTGAGTGGCTATCAATGATATCACCAATATAAGCCAAAGGCCTAATGCAGTTGGAACTAATCTCCTCCTGCAGGATTACGACAGCAAGATTCAAATTAATAAGAAGGCAGGAAGATCACAATTATCCAATGCTAAGCACAAACAACGCGGAACGAGAGAAGAAGCAAGATTTCTATAGCCAACTACAAATAGTAACGGACAATATCCCAGATAGCAACATCAAGATGCTAATGAGAGATATAAATGCACACTAGACTAGAAGCAAACAAAACAGGAAAAGAATTCATCAAGGCTCGAGAAACTGTCGGAGAAATGGATAACAGTAGGAAAATCTCGAAGAATTCTTGACCTTCAGTGACTTGGTGATCCGAAGCAGCCTGTACAAACACAAGGATATACACAAAGCAACATGGGTTTTGCCTGACGGACACACTACAAACTACGAGGACTTCATCTCATCAGTGCTCAGTGAAGTGGAGACGCAGCCTACGGAAAACAAAGTTCAGAAGGGGTGTATGTGTCGGTTCAGACAATCACTTTGTTCAAAGGACCTTCAAGATCAAGCTGAAATCTTTCAGAACAACTGGAGACACACCACAATTCAAGTTCAACATTCAGAAACTGAAATAGGCAACTAAAAAAGATATCTTCACTACAAATCAGATTAGAGCAAAGTCAGGGACACTGATTGGTATCACTGAGGAAACCTTTGTGGAAGAACATTGGAACTAGCCTCCTGATGTCAATGTTTAAGGAGACGTGTATCACCGTTCTAGGAGAAAATAAGAGGCAAGAAAAGGAAAGGCTCTCAACGGACACCTATCTGAAAGCTAATCGAGAAGAAAAGAGGGAGATGTTGAAAGAGAAGATGACTACTCAATGCAAAGATGGACAAGAGAACAGAAGGAGAAGTTGAGATCAAAACACATCTCACCCGCTGAATAGAGAGAGAAGTGAACATGAGTGCTAGGAAAGAAAAAAAGCAGTTTTACGTCCCAAAAAGAGGAGACAAATAAAATAATGGGCTGATTACTTCAAAGGACTCCTGAATCGATCATCACCTGCAACTCACCCAAAAATACACCACCACCAGCAGCACGCTCAGAAGTGGCTGCCAGCAGACTCGAATCCTCCAACGGAAGCAAAAATCTTGGATGCAGTCAAGCGACTGAAGTCCGACCGAGAGGGTGTCACGACCAGATGCAATTCCTCTGAAACCCTGAAAAACTACAGAGGACGTGCTCATGCCATTATTGCAAAATTTTGGATGGAAGTAGAGATGCCTACAGATTATGAGAATGGCTGGCTACTATGTGAGGCTACCAAAGAAAGGAGACTTTGGCCTGTGCAAGAACTGGCGCGGAATAATTTTCTTGTCGAAGCCAAATAAAATACTAAGTCGCATCATCCTGGAGAGAAGGAAAGATGCAGTAGATATAGATTTTCGCCACTCAACGGAACAAGCTGCACTCAGGAAAGGCGACTCATGTCTTGATTAAATTGAAACTCTACGCGTCATTACAGTACAAAGCATTGAATGGCAGCTAAATCTACACCTCAGCTTCATCAGTTTTAAAAGGCCTTCGACAACGTTGACCTTGCAGCAATTTGTTAACTACTTCAACACTACTGAGTGCAGTACCACAAATCTTTATGAACTTCATTGAGTAACTTTATGACAATGTCACGTGCCAGGTGATTCACGAAGGAGAACTAAGTGAAGGTGCTGAAGTGAATATAGGAGTAAGACAAGACTGTCTGCCTATTATCATTAGTGATATTCGTAATTGTGGTGAACTGAATTATGCATCACACTGTGAGTAGGGAGTGAGAAGATACGAACACGATGGACTACCGATAATAAGACTCTAGAAGATCAGGGTTTCTAATGTGGATGATTTATGTTTAGTGTCACACAAACTCGAAAACTTAGAGGCAGGTGTAGACCAACAAACTGGCAGAAGAGACTTGTAGACAGCAAAGACAGAAATCCAGGTGAACATAGAGAGGATGGAGATGGAGGTGATGAAGATAATCAACCAACAACAACAACAACCACTAATCACCATCGACGGGAGAGATTTGACAGAAACAGGTCATTCCCTTTGCTTATATAGGCAGCCAGAATCGTTTCAAACACAGGTTGGTGGAATGGATGAAGATGTCAAATCCAGCCATCCAGAAAGAAAGGCAAGGTACGCCTTCATCATCATCAGTCTGAAACCAGTTTAGAAATCTTCTGCATTCAGCTGGCTTAAACAACAACACTCGGATTTTCAACACTAATGTTAAGTCAGTTAGTGCTTCTCTATGGGGTCAGAGACTTGCACTGCGTGTCACGAAAAGCATTTTCAGCCGCCTTCGACACACTTATCAACAGCTGCTTTCTCTGGCTCCATATTGAAGATGAAATGTCTGGCCAGAGCCGGCCAGAGTGAATTAGCAACAAGAAACTCTTGCTGATGACAAACCAACCAAGAGCTGATTGCTCAACAAATATGTAGGAGAAAATGGAGGTTGATCGGGCATATGTTGAGGAGGCCGTCGTATAACGTCACGCCCTTGGCTCTCCAGTGGAATCGAAATAAGAAGCGACGAGTGGGTCGTCAGTGCAAGGGTGACAGGGAAGAGATCATGCGATTCGGAGGCGATGAGAGATTATGGACAGCCTGGACCCAGTTGAAGAGGATGACAGAAAATAGAAGAAAGTGGATATGTGATATTAGATACTTGAAGGCAATCGGCGGGAAGCCTTGAACCTAGGTTTCGTGGCAGTTAGCACTCATCAGCAAGGCGTATCTGCAACCTTGAAGGAACTCATATCCCTTCTGAGATTCGAACTGGCGTCCCCCAGTGGGGCTGCAGTCATAGACGTTACCACTGGGCTATTTGGGCTCGGGATTGACTTCCTGTAGGACTGTGGTGGGTATTTTGATTGGACACCAGTTGCTAGGAGTACTGACTCTTGAAAACCAAATATCATAGTATTCTTTTAGATTCACTTATTCAGCTTTCTCTTTATCATATATAAAACTATGGATTTATGTTCTCACGATGGCGTACTGAGTTCAGTTTAAAACCCAACTGTTACTTATGATACAAGCGAAAAAAACGTATCGCCACTATTATTTCGGATTTAATACATGTTCGCCAATATTTTAATGTGCTTTAAATAAGAAAACATCATTCTTTAATAAAACTCAAATTAAAACGTAAAAAGAAGGAAGGAATACTTGTTTATTTGTTTCAATCTATCTTTTGTCTGCCTTTTGTTGTTCGCTTATATCATTGTGTTTATAAAATGTTTTTGATATTGAAAATTAATTTAGGAAATTAATTTTTAGTGCTTATTGTATTATATTCACATGCGACTCTTTAATTCCTTCTTTGCGAAAAGTTTGATAAATGAATAAGAATATTTCATTTTCTATAGCCAATTATGTGATTAATTGTTTGTAGATTTTAATTTATATGTATATGGGTTTTCATTTCCTGTGAACGTCAAACTGCCACTAGAAATTGGTATTTCCATTGTCTGATTAAATGATTATCGCAACAGGCTGATACCGATAAGAATAATACGCTTCATTTAATGATATTTTCACAATGTCATGATAATTTTGATTGATTCCGGCTGGATAACTAACAAACTGCAAGAAACTTGAAACGATTGAGTAGTAGCTTAAGCCGGTCATTTTTTCAATCCACTGTCTGAATGCCTAATACGCTGAATGGGTTTGTGATATCTGAAATACAAGTATCTATACAGCAACGATATGCATTAAAGAACATCTTCCTTTCATTGAGTTCTAAAATTAGGCTAACTGAAGTAAATGTGTCTATCGATTTCATTACAACATGAATGGAATTAAATCGTTATCCAAGATTCTGTCGGAAATCACTGTAAAGATTACTATTAAGACTGAATGCCAGGAAGCGTTGGAACATTTTAATTTCAGTCAGATTAACTATACTGAGGATGACCTTGACAGAAACGCATTACAACGTCAAACTGCAATTGACAGTTTACCAGATGAGTTACGTTCTGTGTTTATGAACTACATCCTAGATGTTATTGATAAACGTATGAAAAAGCATTGTGTTCATCTAATAAAAATACTGAATAGACAGTTACCCCAAAATCTATTTTCAAAACCTCTTGGAAGGTATGTTCATAACTTTCCTAGTATTTCTCTTACTCTACTAGAACTAGAGTTCGTGTCACTAAGCTCAAAGTTTTCTGATATTGTAAGTCTTTCAGTAAGATTAGAAACTGAATAACAGTTTGTAAACCCTTTTTTTCAACAGGACAAATAACTTAGTTACGCCCCTAATTTGCAGTCAGAAGAATTCGAAACCACTCTTGTCGAAAACTTGTACCAGAATATAATGACTGGATTCATATTATTAGATAAAGTTGATTGCATCGATAAGATGAACAGTATTCTACAGGATAATGCAAAGTTCCAAAAACTAACCAATGAGAAAGACGATACAGACAAAAGAGAAAGGGGGATTTTCCAAGGCGTTGAAAACTCTACTTTGCGAGCATATGGTCTCTCCTCAAATTTTCGGATATCTACTGCCTGTAGGAAGAAATATACTTGGAATGTACGAGCTACCTCAAGGTTTCTGACCCAGCTTGACAATGTTACCAATATTGCACATACTGAAGTCACCGTATCATTAAGTTGTAAGATGGCGTGCAGACATACTTGAACCAGTGCAGCTGAAAACAGACGGGTATAGTTTGAAAGACACTTCAAAATTTATGAAAAACGTCAACGATAAAAGGATCAGTGATGAATAATTGGTTACTATGTATGTGACTAACTTGTTCATTGTTATTATTTACCTATTATTTCCTTGGGTTCCAAGCGAAACGTAGGGCTTTCAAGACCAAAATGCCATTCCACTACGTTCACATCAGTATTTTTTATCTGGATTTACTACTGCCTATAAGCTTTCGTCTCATCATCAGACTGTATACTCCATGTTGCCTTATGGCTCAACTCGCCATTACCATTCTGTCTTCTGTTCGAGGCGATGGTTCCCAAGCGATGTCACTCAACGATCTCCTCAGAGTGTGTCCAATCCATCTCCATTTCCTTTGGCATATGTGTTGGGCAACAAGTTGTTGGTTCAATCGTTCAAAGAGTTTCTTGTTACTAATTCATTCTAGCCATCTGATCTTCAGTGTTAAACCAGCGAAGGCAGTTATTGACAAAAGTATGTGACTGGCTGTTAGAAATGCTTTTCGTGATAGGCCATGATTCTGACCCATGTAGAAGCACTAACTGACTTAAGATTAGTGTTGAAAATCTGAATCCCGTTGTTCATGCTAGCTAAATGCACAAGATTTCCAAACTGATTTCAGACTGGTGAATGCGTACATTGGCCCTCCGATTCTGGTTGGCTGGCTGGCTTTAACATATTCATTCGTTCCAAGTGTCTGTATTTGAAACGATATTGGTTGCCTAGTTGAGTGAAGACAATGACATATCTCTATCAAATCTCTTCTGATGATGACGGTTGGTGCTGATTGATGTTGCTGTTGGTTGATTATCTTCACCACCTCCGTTTTCTCTATGTCCACCTGGAGTCCTTTCCTCGCTGTCTACCAGCCTCTTTATCCAGTTTATTGGCTTTCGCCTGTAAGTCTCCGAGTTTGTGTGACACTAAACATAAATCATCCACATTAGAAACCCTGATCTTCTAGAGTCTTATTATCGGTAGTCCATCGTGTTCGTATCTTCTCACTCCCTACTCACAGTGTGATGCATAATTCAGTTCACCACGATTACGAATATCATTGATGATAATAGGCAGTCAGTCTTGTCTTACTCCTGTATTTACTCCAGAGTCTTCAATGAGTTTTCCCCTGTGGATCAACTGACACATGACATTGCCATATGGCTACTGGCTGAAGTTCATAAAGATTTGCGGTACTGCACTCAGTAGTGTTGAAGCAGTTTCCAAACTGCTGCAAGGTCAACGTTGCCGAAAACCTTTAATCTGAGGTAGAGATCTGACTGCCATTCTATTCTCTGTCTGTTTGAAGACGTGTAGAGTTGCAATTTGATGAGCACATGACTTGACTTTCCTCAATTCGGCTTGTTCCAGTGGGTGGCGGAGTTCTGCATCTAGTACATCTTTGCTTCTGTGCAGGATGACACGACTTAGCTTTTTAATTTGTATGAACAAGAATATTATTTCACACCAGTTCTTATACTGGCTGAAGTCTCCCTTCTTTGGCAGTCTGATAAGGTAGCAAGCTTTTTTTTCTAATCAGTAAGCACCTTTCCATCCTTCCAAATTTTTGCAGTATTGGCATGAGCACGTTCTCTGTAGTCTTTCAGAGCTTCAGGAGAACTCCATTTGGTCGGCTGGATTTCAGTAGCTTGATCGCACTCAAAATTTGTGCTTTCATTGGAGGATTGGTGTCCACTGGCAAGCAGTTCTGTGCGTGCTGTTGGCAGGGGCGTATTTCTGGACGAGTTGAAGGTGATAATCTGTTCAAGATTCCTTTGAATTGATCACCTCATTGTTTGCTTTGTCTCTCCCCTTTTGAGGCGCATAACTGTCTTTTGTCTTTCCTAGCACTCATCTTCACTTCTCTCTTTATTCAGTGAGTGAGATGTATTTTGAACTCAGCTTCTCTTTCTCTTCTCTTGTCCATCTTTGCATTGAGTAGTCATCTTCTCTTTCTCCGCCCTCCACTCCTCTCTTTTATTAGCTTCCAGGTAGGTGTCCGTGGAGATCCATTCCCTGTCTTGTCTCTTCCTTTTTCCTAGGACAGTTGTACACGTTTCCTTGGACACCACCTTCAGGAGGATAGTTCCAATGTTCTTCCACACAGGATTTCTCAGTGATGCCATGTAGTGTCTCCGAATTTGCTTTTATCTGATTTGTAGTGAAGGTACCGTTCGCAGTTGCGTATTTCAGTTTTTGAATGTGAGTTGAAGTCTCCAGCGAAGAATAAGTTTTCTTATTATATTTTCTAGTGCTTTGGCTTTTTCTGTCGATTGGATTGATTTTCTGGGGTAGAGTTGCTAGCTCCACACCCAGCCGTCTATCTTTCTGGGCTTGGCAGCAGCCAGAAAACTGGTGACATGGTAAACTATGTGAGTTTATCTTATTGGAGGCCATTGATTTAATTTGTAAATCTGTGCTAGAAATTAACGAGGAAGTAGGTATTCTACCTCTGTTGTGCGATAAACCTGCAGTTTCAGTTTAATAACGGAGTGTATATATTTAAAAAAGAAAGACTAAGGGCGTGCGAATGAACTCCCTCTGGGTCTTATTTTAACCAACTTATTTATGGCAAAATTAGAAGATGGTTCACTCAAAAATACAGTCGATGAATTCTCCTTCTATTATAAGTATATACGGACGACACTTTTATCTTGCATAAGAATAAAACCAATACTTAGTTCCTTCCTAAAACGTTCAGTGTTCCTTGCCCAAATACTGAGTCCACGTATGATACAGTGCTGTTACTTTTATCTTTATTATCATTATCATACCACGTTATAATTGCATATTTTAATCTTAGCTTATAATAAAACAAAACCCTATGTTATCTAATTACTGTGAGACCATAGTTTACTTCTACATTAACAGTGACTGTTTGCGTAGATTAATTAAATACTTGCATGAATTTATAATTATTATTATCTTTTTTATTATAGCTTGATTCCACACAGTACTTTTTAGTAGAAGTATGGAATTTTCGGCATGTGATATCGGTAGCCCAAATTTAGCAGGCCGACCATTGATATCAGATGTGATTCGGCCGGGGATCGGACCGCTGACAGTGTGCATGGTCGGCGAAAGTCCTAACCGCTGAGCAACTAATGTATTTTAATTATTACCTATAAGTCATATTCACACTTTGCAGATTATTTAACAATTTGCGATGTACACAGTTTGAGGCGTGGAACTTTCACCTCAAATCCCTTTAGAAACTAAATTATTCAGGCGGTCAGAGCTGATTTGGCTCTCTGAAGTGAGTCAAACTGGGTACACTGGTGATGAGTTCTGCCCCGAATTTGAATGAAACGATCATCTTGTGTTTAGATTGCCACGATCTGGCTAGCAAAGACTATTCACTGTTGTCAGGCATGTGGAAATAGTTATCTAAGTTAATCGGTAGTACATAATTTTATGCAATTAATTAGTATCCACTAATTTAATTACCATAACTTACGATGCTATTAACCAAATTGGTAATTGCATATTCTGAATGAATGACTTTTGCTGGTTACTTTGGAGCATCAAAAACTGTAATACACCTTGCTTCATTGTTGTCTGACTAAGTTAGTTTCAAAAGAATAATCAGATTTATCAAGACACATATGCTTAGAAAGAATTATTGTGTGCATTATGTTTTAAACATCGAAACCTGTTGCTCCAGTGATGCAGATAGATGTCAGATTCCTTTCTTTTCGATATCCTCGAAGAAAGCAGCCACTATTCACGACAGATAGAGTCTGAGACAGCTACAGAATTGAAATTCAGCAACTCACGCTATATACGGCTATGACATTAATCTAGAAAGAAGCGGCTGACAACCGGGATGAGATTCTTTCTGGTTTTCCAAGCTGTCTGCTTATTCTTCAGTTTATATTTCTTTTCAAGTGACCACAGTATGATTTTGTGGTTGGGATCGAGTTTTATAATTACCATTTTGATGCTAAAGTTATTGCATTATCATTATATACGGGGGGAAATTCAGTGTCTGCTAATAAAATACCATATTTCTAGTGTTCTTGAAATTACGTCCGCTCAAATTTACAGAAATATAATTTAGCAAGTCGTTCGTAAGTCTATTTTAATGTGTGAAATAACTTTCTTTTATAAACTCATCACTATGTCCAAGACATTAGGATATCACCTAAATATGCTTGTAAATACATATGGGTGCAGTTATAATGCATTGGTAGTCTAACCGGCGAGAAATACTGTGGTTAGCTTTGAATCAGCTAGCATCTGTAGCAAATTTACTCAACATACAGCTTAGACTAGTGTGATAAGTCAGGTAGCCCAAATTCCAAAGTCCCCCTTGCTAACTTGACCTCAACAAGTGTGGGTGGTAAATTTTATTTACAGATTCTCACAGAAATCTAAACACTTTTTGCTCTCTCTTCTTTTTAGTGTTATCCTTACTTGCATTCCTGAGTCATGCACATAGCAACTAAGTCGTTTTCATCATTCAGTGGTTACATATTCTCCATAGATCTTTTGATTTTCCCTTCATTCATAGTTAACAAATTTAAGTC